CCCCCGGAGGTAATTTGACACGGAGGGGCTCAAACAGTAGCCAGGGGGGCCCCAATACCTGTCCGAGGAGGGACGACTAAAGGAAGCCTCCTAGAGGGGCCTAAGTACAACCCCCCCCCCCTTCCTCGCCTCCCCGCCAAGCAGGTCTCCTGCTTGGATGGTCTCCCTCTGGCCGGGGAGAGCTCATCTCGCCTACGGCCACCAAGGCAGGAGGGGGAGAGAAAGGCTTAACACCAACCCTTATCTCGCGTTTCAAAAGGGTGGCAATGGAGAGAGCGAGAGTGAAGCACAAAAGCGACGGTAAAAAGAGGGAGGGTGTGGGGGGGGCAAGGTTGGGGCGCGCCAGAGAGGCCAGGTACAGTACAATGGAATCCAAATAACACCCCCGCCGGCCTCCAATGTCACCGACAACGACACGATAACGGTGTCGTCGACGGCCGCCTCCATCGCCGTCAAGAGCTGCAGCAGCGGCAGCCCCCTCCTCGACGACGCCGCCGCCACCGCAGACAGAGAGAGACCTCTGGACGCGCGGCCATTCACGCACTCAGACCCAAACAAGACGACAGAGACACAAGGCAAACACTGTCGATAAGCTGGGCGGCGCCACCGGGCCTCGAAATAAATCGACTTACTGACCCGACCAGGGCATGGCGAGGCGTGGCGAGGCGTGGCGGGGTGCGGCGCATACACTGGCCCGCCCTGCCACCACCGCATTCCGGTGGCCGTGCCGGACACCCGGAGGGCCCGGAGCCCGGAGGCGCCACCACCACCACACCGCCGCCGCCCTCCACGTGGGCGGTTACATAGAGAGGGGCGCGGCGCGCGCGTCCGGCCGTCCGGGGGCCACACCGCCACCACACAGGGAGAGGAGACCCGCCGCCGCGCCCCCCGCGCCATACTTCCGGGCCAGCTCCCTGCGTCCAATCAGAGCCACCGCCACCACCACAGATTGGCCGCCGATAGCCGACGCAAATTGCCCTCCAATGTGTCCCCGACGGGGACCGAGCTGACTGTGCAGCGCCGCCCGAGCCACGTGCATGGACAACGAGGGTTCCGAGTGCAGCTGCACCGCGGATGGGTTAACGACCAGGACCTTGGAGGAGGGGTCATAATGTGTGGCCCACCCCACCTCCACAGGCTCGTAGACCAGCCTACTGATGACTGGACTAGACCCTGGACAAGGGCAAGGGCACACGAGCGTGGACGTGCCCCGGACCACGCCCGCGTTGGTGTAGGCCCCGGCCGCCGGTGGTACCGGACCAGCGTCAAGAAGTTATGACGACCGGTTCGGAGCCCTTTAGAGGTCAGCGTCACTTGACTGACCCGCGTCGCCAGCACGATGGAGGCACGGCGGTGCGGGCGTGTCAGAGGCGCGCACCGGCTGCTTGCTGCTTGAGCACCGCGATGAACGACCAGAACGACTTATTCCCTGACCCAGGAGCTGAAGCAGGCTTGGGCGGCCCTTCCAAATCCAGGAGCCCGGCGGGCCAGACACGCACGCCCGAGGAGAGCCGACCATCTCGGCCGTCATCACGTGAGGAGGTTGTTGTAATCCGGTAAGGTGCCTCATCGGCCGAGAACAGCGGCGGCGGCGGCCTTGGCAAGGTGTGGGAAGTGGTCCGGGGCGCCGCGGGCATGGCAATAGCCCCGCCGCGCCCCGCACCGTGTCCACAACGACGCTCTGGCACGACTGTTTTCCGAGGCGCCCCAGGCAGACGGGCGCCGCGGTTAGATCCGCGTGCCGCGACGATTATGTTATTGCAGAGCGCGGGACGAGGTTGCAGGGGGAGAGATGGAGGAAGGGGGGAGACCGCCGATCGGCCTCGCTCAGGGCCTGCTTGATGCGACAGAGACAGAACGGGAGCCCCCCCCCCCCTTTTTCCGCCCCGGATGCTTCAAATCCTTCACGCCCCACCCAATGGGCCGACTTGAGACGACACCGCGCACCCGATTCCAGTTTATAGGTCGTCCGAGCCACCGCCGCCGCCGTCGACGACACATCCACCACTTTACGACCCGGGCGGACCGCTGACCTATCCCCAAATTAAAATAACGACACAATAAAAATATATATGCATCCCGCACGCTGCCCCTCCCCTCCCCCTCCCCTTTCCTCACCCTCAGTCCCTCACTCGCGCGAAGTAAGAGGAGTCCCCCGACAGTAAAGGCGACGGCGACGACCTCCACGCGACCCCATGAGGGCGCCATTCAGAAGCCATAAGTCATATTAGCCGAGCCGGCGGCGGGGCCGGCGGGGCGAGCCTTTCTCACAGACAGTGCGACAATAGCGCGAGATCCATTGAGTCGGGACGGCCGCCGCTGGGCCCCAAGTCCCGCACCGTATCAGCCGCGCGTCAGCAGCGCAGAGGTCACGCGCCCTCGCGTCGTCGTCGTCCCGCGGCTTGGTGCCGACGGTGCCCTGCCCCGGGGGGAACACCAGCTGCAGCGCGCCTGCCTGCCATACTCATATCGCTCCAGCTGCGGCAGCTGCTACTGCTGCTGCTGCTGCTGCTGCACACTTGGTGCTACGCGCGCGCACCTTACATGGCCAGGCCTCCGCGTGCACCTGTCACCGAGCGGACGTGGATGTCATCGCACACGCGGCACGGGGTGGACGGCCCCGGCGGTGCGCAGCTGGCGTGCCCTCGCGAAGAGAAATGTGGCCAACTTGTGAGCAAAGTGTTGGCAAAAATGTACGACGCCGACGGAAAGTGTATGGCATACTGAATCTAATAAAGCCCTATGCTAACGTCCCCTCCGCAGGTGCACCTAAGGTATACTCCGCTCCACCAAGCCCGGCGGCGGTTCGGCAGGGCCGCGGGGCCGGCGCGGTGGGTGGGAGGTGCGCTCGCGCAGCTCAGCCAGAACTCTGCGGCTGCTCCTCCTCCGCGCCGCGCCTCGCCACGCCGCCCGCGGTGCTCCGAACCTTGACGGTGGACCATTCGGGATCGCGCTCGGGAGCCGATTTCAGGCCCGAGTCGCACGACGGCGACGCGGCGGCCAGCACGCGAGGAGGTGTCCAGCTCGGCGCAGCCCCGCGGGTAGGCCAGGGGCCGCGGCCGCCGCGCCCCGCCACCGCGCCGCCCGCCTACCCCCTCCCGTTCCTTACCTTATTGCCGTCGGCGTGCCCGTTGGCCACCTTGGCCTTGAGGTCGCCCTCCTCGATGCGCTCAAGCTTGCCATCGAGGGCCGCCTTCACGTTGGCCGCGTTGGCGGGCTCCCCGTCCTTCGTCGAGATGTCCACCGACCGCTTGCTCTTGACTGCTCCCATGGTTGTGTATCACCTGCAAAGACAAAAGGCGACGCATTAGGATACACGCAACGCACACACACACACGCAAAAATAAAAACAAAGACACGGTGGAAGGAAACACTTTTGAAGAGGCGAGATAAACGCCGAGTGGAGGGCGACGCTCTCGAGGGCCCTCTCCACCCTCCACGGCGGGGCCCCGCGGGGCGGACGCACCCCCTCCCCCCGCCCCATGGAGGCCCCCGCCGCGTCCCGTCTGGCCAATTGGCTGCCATGCAAACTGCCTAATTATTACGCAAGGCAGACGGGAGAGGAGGGAGAGAGAGGACAATGCCTCTCCACACACAGGGAGAGAGGGAGACAGCGAGAGAGAGGGCCACCCAGAGGGGAGTCTTGTGCACAAACAACACACCACCCATCCCATCCTGCCAGACTGGACAAGGCACACACAACGCACGCACACACTCTGACGCGAAAAGTGACGAAAGCTTCTGCTAGCGACATGCTGCTGCTACGTCTCTCCTCGAGCGAAACAATGGCAACCCCACCAGCCCAGCAGCAGAAGCTCGCTCGCTCGGCTCGCCCACACCCACCACACCCTCCCCTCCACATAAGCCCCGACTGTCTGCTCCACCCCCGAGCCGCTCCAGATCCCCAGATTTATCTAATTCGCCCCTCGTCGTCGACATAAAGGCGTCAGGTGTCGCGCCTTCCCCGCCGCAGCAGCAGGTCACACTCGCTCTCTTGTGTGTAACACGCCACCGCCGCCGCGCCCCTTTTCGCCCACACAGCACAAGAAAGGAAATAAAGAAAGGCAAGAAAATGGGATCGTCAGCGCGGCACATGGCAGAGTCGCTCTCTCTCTCTCTCTTTCTCGTATATTCCCCCTCAATTCCCACGAGCCTCCGCCGTGGGGCCCGGCCGACGCGGCGCGGCGGGGAATAGCCACTGGGGCGTTAATCGCCCCATAATGCATAGGCTTTTATTATGATTGTGGGGCCCATTTCTCTCGTTTTCGTCGAGCCGGCCATAAGCAAAAGCCCAGGGCCCCCTCTACGTCTACATTTCCCTTCCTTCCGCTCTGGTCCCGCCCGCCCAGCTTTTCCAGCTCCTTTTATATATTTTTCCTCAATGCTTCCGGCCGGGGGCTTGCGGGAGCGCGTTGTATGAGCTATCGCAGTGAAACGGCTGCTGCTGCTGCCTCATGCTGCTGCTCATAGGGCTGCACTAGTTGCTGTGTGGTCTAGCGCCCCCGCGAGGTGGGTGGCGAGGCGGGCGAGCCGGGCGGGAGAGACTTCACAGTCCACATCTCCCTCACTCTCCCTCACCTCACACCAACTCAGGTGGCGAGTGAGTGAGTGAGTGAGTGAGTGAGTGAGTGAGTGAGTGAGTGAGTGAGTGAGTGAGTGAGTGAGTGAGTGAGTGAGTGAGCGAGTGAGCGAGTGAGCGAGTGAGCGAGTGAGCGAGTGAGCGAGTGAGCGAGCGAGTGCAACTCGGATTGCGCGATCCAATCGTATATGGCAGCGCCGCCCGCCCTGCTCGACTCCACTACTCCAATGGAGCCGCCATTAATTCTAAAATAGTTTACAGGAGCAAAATGGGCGTGTCGAGAGGCGCGCGCGCGCGGAGCGAGGAGAAGGTCGCGACCCCGTGCTGCTCTTGAAGGGATGTGCAGCGCCAGCGCACTCACTAGCATACAGCGTGGGGTACCTAAAGGAGGTGCAATTCGCCAGCAAGGTAAACAAATATTAACTGCTCCGATTTTTAAAATTATTTTCTTCGATATTTATTTCTATGGCTGCCCAGAAGAGACGGCCAACCTTCTCTATAAGGCCTCGCACTTTTCCCCTAGCTGTGTACGGACAGCCCGCACACACGCGCGCCCCACTTAACGGCGGCGCGATGAAAACCCCATCCATCCATCGCCTCCCCCCGTCGCGCCACCCAAAAGTGGGAAATAATCCACTTTGCGCCACGACGCAAAAACACCACCACAACACCTCTTTGGTGTGTTGTTTGTCGGACCTTGTAGGAGACAAGTCACGCTCGCAAAGACAAACCGATTCGGGGCGACCCGTCCGTGGAGCCACACGCACCGCTCGTGTGTCTGTGTAAGTACGCCTCGCCCGCGGCATTGACACACTGCGCAAGACTCGCGGCCGCCGGCCGCCGGACCCTCGTCCCCCCCC